CATTGATCCATACGTTTAATCCTCAATGGTCACGTTTGTTAACTGGATAACAGTACAATTGATTATTCCTCAGAGTACGCGAGCATACACGGCGAGAGGAAAAGTCCTTAAAATTAATGCAACGATATTCATACGAAGGGCAATAAAGAAACATATCCCGAAGGCAAGAGTAGTTATCAATGAATTCATTTGTAAGATTATGCAATTAAAAAAGGAAGAAAAAACGACTAAAATACTTCTAAATGACCGTATCCACGTAACTCAATGGGCAGCAATGTTCTTCACGATCAGTTGATATTTAATGCACCACCTTGGAATGGCAACCCTTCTTGAAACACAAAGATAACTTTTTGGAACAATCTTATTTGTCCCGATATGCGTGTTGTGTGTCTTCTTTGCCACTTGTTCAATTCTTTGCGTAAAGCAGACGCCGGGCGATGCGTCGCGAGGGTGTGAGTGTGGGGGAGGGTCGTACAAACGGCTTCGTTCTCTCTCTTGCTCGGGGGCGGCCACAGTTTCGGTCCACAGCTGGGTGGAAGAGTCGGCACGAAGCTCGCCGTCGGCGCGCGATGATCCGTCGTCAGATAGCGCCCGCAGCTCGTCCGCTGGAAGTAGTTCCTCACTCTCGTCTCGGTTCCCAGCCGGTGCTGGTCGGTGTGAATGTGGGTCGAACCCACGGCGCGCTCGCTGGCGCTGACACTCTTGCTTGGTGGCGCTGGTGGCGCTGCTGCGCACTCTCTCTTACTCCGTCTCTCTCTCTGGCGACGCTCGATTGCGCGTGCAGCTCTTCACCCCTCCCTGAATTTTCTGCTGCACCTGTCCGGATCGGGTCCCCGACACCTCGCACATGGTGGTCTAGGAAGGTCTTCGTGACCTGGGTTCGGTGGGGCTTGGGAAGACGTTGCTGGTGGGTCGGAGGGCGTCGGTGACACTGCCGGTGCCCCGCTGACACCCGACACTCTATAGCGATGTGGCCTAATCGGCCACATATGAAACACTTAGGCCGTGGGTTTCGAGGGCAGAAGGGACTGCCCCGGCCTCCAATCCACCCGCGGGGACCCTCTCCCGCTCGTCCCCTGGCCACCCAACGTAGCCCTCATGTCGTCCATCCACCATGGCCCAGCCTCTACCTTTGACCGATGCTGGTGGTCCTCATAGGCTTGAACTTTTCAGGCCACCATTAAGGACAAGATCTCTGCGCCGGCGGCCAAGTGCAGGGCGATCTTAAACTCCCGCACCAGCGCCCTCAGCCTTTCCACCACCTGGAAATCGAGCGCCCCCTCACCCAAGTGCGGGTATGCCTCCCGTCCAAGCACCAGCAGCGCCTCCCGGAAAGCGTAGGGCATCTCGGAATCCCTTCGTTCTCTCTGGAGAAACCTTTTGCAGGCCTCCAGTGGCATGTCAAAAAGGCCCCTTGCAGTGCCACTGACCTCTGTGCCCTTTCTGCGCGTTCCCGCGCTCACCTCAAAATAGCACCCGCTGATCATGGTAGGTCTTCCAGCGGCAAAATAGCACCCACCATATGCACGGTCTCCGGTCCGGACTCCTTCGCTCCCACTCCGAGTAAAGCTCCAGCCGGGGTCTCCTCGTGACTCCTCTCCACGCCGCTGACAGTGGCGTGCCTTCTGCGACATCCCACGCCCCTCTCGACATGGTGGTCTTCCGCCATGCCACAGTGTCAGCGCGTGACCGCGGAAAATCATGCCGCTCTCCAATCGATTCGCAGATGCGTAGTCGCTCTCCTGAAGATGTGTCGCTACTCTCCTGTAGATGCGTAGCTGCTTTCCTACTGAGGCATAGCCACTCTTCCGCAGATGCTTAGCCGCTCTCCCGGCGATGCGTAGCCGCTCTCCCGCCGATGCGTAGCCGCTCTCCCGCCGATGCATGGCAACTTTCCCGCCGATAGCGTAGCCGGTCTACCTGCAGATGCGTATCTGCTCTTCGCTAATGCGCAGTGGCTGTCGCGGTGGTCCGCGGCGGCTCCCCCGCTGCTCTGCAGCCAACGGGCTTCATAACCGAGGTCCCAGGGCTGTTGGAGGGATGACTGTCCCGCCATCCTCGTCCCGATGACACTGTAGGTGGGTTCCTCTTCAGAGTTACTTTGGAACCCCACTTCTGACACCAGATGTAGTGGAGCACAAGTCGGACGCGAGGTAGTTGCAGGAGGCACCTTCTTTATTATAACACTCTTTAGGTTCAACAGGTTTGCCTCCTTCCTTCTCGTTGCTGTACAGCCCAGCCTAGAAACAACCATAACTGCGTTACACCGACAGCGTCGACCGAGACAGCCAACAACTGTCCGGCCACTTAATTATGGAGTGAAGGTGGCAGCAACAAAGCTGGCAAAGATGACAGCAACGGTGAGACGAGTCCACTCCCAGAACGGGCAGCCCGGAGCTCTCACTCTCCACTGCTTTTATCCTACTCGGCATGGCCTGGCTCCGCCCTGGCCGCGCCTCCCTTCTTGAACTCACTAGCAGGTTCCAGGGCTTCCCGATGAGGTCTTCCGTGACCCTTGCCCCAGTTCCTCCGCCCTGCCGGCACACCCGTATATATGCCAACGTTGTGTGCTCTAACTGTCCACCGCAGTTGCCACTGCTGGACAGCAGTCGGTGCTATGTCACTACACATACAAAGTGCTTGCCACAAATGAACCACAATATCTTGCAGATCTCGTCAAGTAGCATAACCCATCGTGCAAATTCTAGTCATCTTCGCAGCGGCTTTTGGCTAACCATCAAACAACGACAGTCACTCCATCGCCTGCTTTCAGATGCACTTATGTGGCCATCTGGAATGCTCTTCCTTCCGATATTAGGAAGCCACTGGAACTATGCACTTTTTAATATAATTTGATGTTATATTTCTTTATAACTCCTCCTTGTGTTTAGTTTGCTGTCTTTCTCCCATAGCTCCTCTTTTGTTATATTTTTGTACTTATTTAATATATTTGATGCAAATTTTTCACAAAGAAATTGCCCCCAGGGACCTATCCTAAATTCGTATCGTGAAATAAATGAAAACATAGGTTTCAATTTACATTCTCTTTGGTTATTTCGGTAAAGTCACGTAGGTAGAAAAAATAATAGAACACGACGTTTCGATCGCAACGCAAGCGATCGTCATCAGGCGGAATAAAGAAGACGATTGCTTGCGTTGCGATCGAAACGTCATGATCTGTTATTTTTTCTACCCACGTGACTTTACCGAAAGAACCAAAGAGTATGGATTCCTGCAGTCACGGAAGCTTCAAATTCGATTTACATTGTTTTGCCTTCCATCACGTTTTGCAAGGAACACATCCCCAACTTAAATAGAGGATTTACCGTACACATAAATTCACTTCTGAAGAAGCTCCCCGCAAATGAGACTGAAATGAATACAACTGAATTCAGTTCTTGAAGAAGCTCCTATCATGTGTGAGCAAAATTTCGAAAACACCATGCTGAACAACATTCAGTTAAACCTGAAAACACATCTGTGCAAGCAAATGAATGCTCATAATAAAATGGCAAGAGTTTCCTGGAGATGGTCAATTTATGCTTGGATTACACTACGTGAGTTTCAGTAAAATTAGGCTTCGGTGACTTACCACAATTGAATTTAATTGTCTTCTGACTGATGTGCTGCATTTTTTTTTCATTCAGATTTCAGAAATATTTTAAGGGCCTGCATGTTTTCTGCGAGCTGATTTGCATTTGCCTTTAATCTCAAACAGTATGCAGGCCAAAGCACGTGTTCTCAATGCATTGAACTTTGAATACAAACTAATGTAACTCTTGACGATACTTTTAAAATTTCGTACAGATTGCTCAAAGTAACAATTTCTGGGATACTATCATGCTGTTTGCACATGAGCCTGGAACAGGCTTAAGATAACTGCGAAACATTATCACTTTTTATTATTATTACATAAAACAATACCCTAAATTTAACAAATACTCAAGTTACAGTATTACTCAAATGAGCATCGAGGCAGTGCTCATCTCCTGTACTTCCCCGCAAAATGGTACTGATTAAATTGACCCCAGAGGGATGATAGTCAAGATATGAACTTGGAACCTTCCGATTGTGGGACACTTACTCTACTGCTGAGCCACCTAGTAACACTGTGTACCCAAAGTGTGGGGAGGGGCCGTCCATAAATTAAGTCACGCGATTTTGGACGATTTTTACTCCCCCCCCCCATCGTCACACGGCGTCACAAAAAGTCAGACCCCCACTCAAATATGACGTCACAAAGATCTGCCCACCCCCCCCCCCCCCCCAAAAAAATGCTTCAAATCGCTTTAAACTATTGTCATTGTAGTGCGTATTTAATGTGCTGTTGCACTCTGATGTTGTAGAAGGCATTTATTAAAAAATCTATTTAATTAAGTAGAACGTTTTGATTTAAAGCTTTCGTGACTGCAGTAATTCATATTCTTAGTTTTTTCGGTAAAGTCACGTTGAAGAGAAACAACAAAATAATAAAATATATACAAAACAATAAAATGTTTTTTTATATATATTATATATTTTATTATCTTGTTGTTTCTCTTCAACGTGACTTTACCGAAAAAACTAAGAATATAAGTAGAACGTGTTGTCTATATTTATTTAAACTTGTGCACTTTGATGTGACGTCACATTTCTCACCCCCCCCCCCCTCGTCACACATCGTCACAAATGTCTGACCCCCCCCCACCCTCCCTAGGTGCGTGACGTCATTTATGGACGACCCCGGAGTAATTATAGAGCTATCACCAAAAACGTATTAAAACCCCACAACTGAAACTCCGCTTGATGATATGGCAGAACCTAATACAGTATTGCATTTCTGTGAGCATACATTAATGCAACTTTTAAATGGATAGTAATGACCGTGGCGCAGCAGTGGCTTGGCAGGAGCCTGCGCTCGGCAGATATTGCTGACAGCCACCCTGGGGGAGGGAGCAATATTGTCACGTTGCCAAAATTCAGCTTCGTGTGGCTGACCGCGAGTGAGTGTGTAACCTAACCTGTGGTGAAGGAGGTATGTGACGGCAGTTGTGAGCAGGCACAGGAGGAGCAATGCTGTGCAAGCGTAGACTACGGGGTGCAGCGGCTCCCCCCGCAAGCGAGCGGACTGCGAGGTGTCGAGCCCAGCCTCCTACAAAGGGACACAACGTGGGACATTTATTAATTACAGAACGTCGGCACAAAAACGGCGGGTCCATTGTGGGCTATTAGCGCTGCAAATGCAGCCGTCGTCCCCGGGATGGAGGTGCTGACACTTTCAACTTGGCATGGCTGAAAGCGTTGCTGGTTGGCAGGGGGACGAGTTGCAGTTGTTGGATCATTCGTATGGCTATGAGCGTCGGGCACATTAACTGAGCAACGTGTGAACTTCTCTTGTTACTACGCAGAAATTATCCATACAATCAGCAATGAGTACTTAAAAAGAGATATGGTTTTAATCGTGATTTGAAGCTTTTGTGACTACAGGAATCCATACTCTTTGGTTCTTTCGGTAAAGTCACGTAGGTAGAAATATGGTCTTTTAAATTGCATTTTTATGAGCACCATTTAATCCAAACATGCAGCGGATATTGGAAACTACAGAAATAACGGGCCATAAGCAGTCTTTAACCAATCAATTACTTTTTTTCCAACATACAAATGTGTTAGCATGGTTGACTTAAAGAGATTATAGGCCATAATCACATCTTGAAAATGCTAATTTTTATTTATTGCTTAGTGAAACTCTGCCATATTTCCATTATCAACAGTGGGCCAAATTGCCTAAATAAAGAGGTTTAGCATTTCATCAAAATGTGAACCTGACACTTTGTCTCTGGTTGTGTCTCTCATTCATAGCATGTTTGTACATATAATATACTAGCTTTACTACCCGGCTTCGCCCGAGACTTGGATTCTTGTCTTGGATTAATACACGGCTGACGCGGAGGGTTTTGTGGGGGGGGGGGGATGCGTGACGTCAGTAGGCACACTGCGTAACGCTGCCGCCTGCGGGTGACATCACAGATGTGACGTCACCGCTCACTTGCCGTGCAAAATATATCCATTATTGCGCCCCCCCCGCCCCCCAAAATACAAAAGTCATTTAATACTTTTTGCATTGTGTACATTCTGGAAGCTACCAATATGCCACATTTCAAGTTTGTTGCATGTTGGGAAGTATGCTAAACATTTCGAACAGACACACATATTCACAAATTTCCCTTTTATATATAGACTAGCCTTTTGCCCGTCCAATGACGGGTGTATTGCAGTAAATCTGAAACTTGCAAGCGAAAGGCAGGGACTGGCTGACGTGGAGTGACGTCACGTGTGGGACAGACATTCTTGGCTCATTATAGTAGCAAATATATGCAACATTATAGTGATGTTTGAATCACGAAAAATTGTAAACCAAACCATTCTATTAGCTCTCCAATGAGTTTTCAGTATGATGCCTTTTCAACAATTGAATTTGCTCCCAGCATGTGGAAGGAAATGTCAGACACTACGCCAAACAACGAGCGGTAAGCCTCAAACTGATATCAGCGAGCAAAATCAACACATCCACGGGAATCTACACAGTAAAGCCTTCTAATGCCAGCCATACGTTTAGCGAAGTAAAATCTAACTTACCATTAAAAAAAATGACATGCTGTCATGTCATAAAATGATATATAACGAAATCATATGCTATAATTTAATCAAATGATACGCTTGTGCAAATAGTGCCTTGAGCAGTTGTAAAGAAAATAGGTTTTCAAGAAACATTTCTAAGGCCAGTAAAACAAACATACAGTGAGGGAAAAAAGTATTTGATCCCCTGCTGATTTTGTACGTTTGCCCACTGACAAAGAAATTATCAGTCTATAATTTTAATGGTAGGTTTATTTGAACAGTGAGAGACAGAATAACAACAAAAAAATCCAGAAAAACGCATGTCAAAAATGTTATAAATTGATTTACATTTTAATGAGGGAAATCAGTATTTGACCCCTCTGCTAAACATAACTTAGTACTTGGTGGTAAAACCCTTGTTGGCAATCACAGAGGTCAGACGTTTCTTGTAGTTGGCCACCAGGTTTGCACGCATCTCAGGAGGGATTTTGTCCCACTCCTCTTTGCAGATCTTCTCCAAGTCATTAAGGTTTCAAGGCTGACGTTTGGCAACTCGAACCTTCAGCTCCCTCCACAGATTTTCTATGGGATTAAGGTCTGGAGACTGGCTAGGCCACTCCAGGACCTTAATGTGCTTCTTCTTGAGCCACTCCTTTTTTGCCTTGGCCGTGTGTTTTGGGTCATTGTCATGCTGGAATACCCATCCACGACCCATGTTCAATGCCCTGGCTGAGGGAAGGAGGTTCTCACCCAAGATTTGACGGTACATGACCCCGTCTATCGTCCCTTTGATGCGGTGAAGTTGTCCTGTCCCCTTAGCAGAAAAAACACCCCCAAAGCATAATGTTTCCACCTCCATGTTTGACGGTGGGGATGGTGTTCTTGGGGTCATAGGCAGCGTTCCTCCTCTTCCAAACACGGCGAGTTGAGTTGATGCCAAAGAGCTCCATTTTGGTCTCATCTGACCACAACACTTTCACCCAGTTGTCCTCTGAATCATTCAGATGTTCATTGGCAAACTTCAGACGGGCATGTATATGTGCTTTCTTGAGCAGGGAGACCTTGCGGGCGCTGCAGGATTTCAGTCCTTCACGGTGTAGTGTGGTACCAATTGTTTTCTTGGTGAATATGTTCCCAGCTGCCTTGAGATCATTGACAAGATCCTCCCGTGTAGTTCTGGGCTGATTCCTCACCGTTCTCATGATCATTGCAACTCCACGAGGTGAGATCTTGCATGGAGCCCCCGGCCGAGGGAGAGTGACAGTTCGTTTGTGTTTCTTCCATTTGCGAATAATCGCGCCAACTGTTGTCACCTTCTCACCAAGCTGCTTGGCAATGGTCTTGTAGCTCATTCCAGCCTTGTGTAGGTCTACAATCTTGTCCCTGACATCCTTGGAGAGCTCTTTGGTCTTGGCCATGGTTGAGAGTTTGGAATCTGATTGATTGATTGCTTCTGTGGACAAGTGTCTTTTATACAGGTAACAAGCTGAGATTAGGATCACTGCCCTTTAAGAGTGTGCTCCTAATCTCAGCTCGTTACCTGTATAAAAGACACCTGGGAGCCAGAAATCTTTCTGATTGAGAGGGGGTCAAATACTTATTTCCCTCATTAAAATGCAAATCAATGTATAACATTTTTGACATGCGTTTTTCTGGATTTTGTTGTTATTCTGTCTCTCACTGTTCAAATAAACCTAACATTCAAATTATAGATTGATCATTTCTTTGTCAGTGGGCAAACGTACAAAATCAGCAGGGGATCAAATACTTTTTTCCCTCACTGTAGAATACAATTTAAGTTTTGGCAATGCAGGTGAGGATTTTCTCTCAAGGTCAATCCAAAATATAGCCATCACAGTACTTGCTCAAAACCACTATAACACAATCGCAATGCTTCCTCAGGAGATAAACTCCATCCCTTCGAGAGGGAATGCTATAATGAATTTGCATGTAAAGCATTCAAACCATAGCAGCAATTCAAAACGTACAGTACTCTCAATTAACAGAACAGAAAAAAACACGCTGGATACCTTATGCCGTGCAGACATTGACATTATTTTTTTTCATGCTTAAAATTGCCTGCTACATTTAACATTCCCCATGGAAAGTTAATGGTAGATAACACAGCAACATTGTAAGGATAATTTATGACTGAAATATAAAGGAAAAATTATACACGTGTTCAATATACGTGTAATACCATTTAGCCAAAATTCCCCCCCATGGCTAAATGGGCAATAACTCTACGTATACCACCCTTCACAGTTCTCTCAACTACTATCTACAGTGTCTATAGAGTATTTTTTAAATTTCTAATCCAGAGTTAAAATTGCACAAAACCTTTAAAGATGATAAGACAAAGATTCCCCATTTAGGCCGAAACAATTCTGGGGCAAGTGCTATTTGCGAGCACCTATAGAGGCTTGCATGGCACACGAGGAGTGGGTGGCCAACACCACGCCCGACCGCCTTTGTCTTCCCAGTGGCGATATTTTCACATCACACCTGGTACTCATTTGAGGTTGAGTCGACCTAGGGGAGGTCCAGGACCGGTTTTGATAATCGCCACTGGTGTTGAACGTGAGCGGGAATGGAACTCGAGTCACCGGATTTGGTGCGCAGCGTGTTAACCACTGCACCACCTCTCCCCATCAGATGGCAATCATTGCATTTACGTACATTAAACAGTTAATTATGTTAATTCAAGTAAAAAAATGCTTATTTACATTTGAAACTATTTAAATCAAAGTCACTTCGGATAAATATCAGTAGTCAATGAACACTATAACAAAAGGTTGTAATTGAGACTAATGATATAATTATTTCTGTACGTTAATATTGATCATTAATTGGGGTTAATCCGACTAATAAGATTAGGATCAAGGTTGAGATTGGTATTCTGGCTGCAGTTAAGAACGTCTACTTGAAAAAGTAATATTAGCACGGGTCTACAATTTTTTAGACGTCGTTTGCCACAGAGATTAAATGTGCTGTTTATTATGGATTTTGATGTGCTGAATTCAAATATGACAATTAAAACAACAGATTTAAATCTATTTATATTGTGTAGATAGTAGAGTTTTACTCATAAATTGTAAACCGAGGTCTTTTAATGTGTTTATGGTTGCTTTACATGATAACATGTCACCTGTCCTGTTTATGTAACACTTAAAAAATCAGCAAAAGTGTTATATAAATCAAATGTATGATGAAACAAAAGGGAAAAAAATATTTTGTATATATAAGTACATAGTTTAGTCCTTATTCAGTGTCTACTCGGTGCTTCTTGGCTTGTCTCTTGTATTCATTCAATGGAGCATCTCTTGTCACTGTCCAGCAAGTGTCCAAGCATTGATGGGCCCCATTTGCCCTGATAGCGTTTCTCCATTGTTGCAATGTTCCTGGTGAAATCGCTCGCCATGCTCATCGCTCGCTGCTCCGCAGTTCGGTGGGAAAAAAATCTAACTGAGAGTGCAAATTTTTTTATATTTAGTGACATGTTGCAACCAAGGCTTTTGTATGCCTTGAGGAGGT